GTCCAAAAAAATTCACCCCCCTCAGCATTGACACACATGTGGAACGGAGCTTTGGGCCAAGAGCCAACTTTTGGAACATTCCTAAAAAGATACGTACATTTGCATTGAATAATTCCCTTTCCGGGTCCAGCCCTCTGGCTCGGGGTGGTATTGCAAGCATGTCAACGCCCGTCAATTTGGCCGCTTTTGAGCCGGGACAGCAAAACTGCAAAACCTGGAATAAGAATTAGCCAATGCTAAAATATAGCATTAGCTGACTTCTCAAAAACGTCTTTACAGGATGGTCCAAAAGTTGGCATTTGGCCCAAAGCTCCGGTCTACATGTGTGTCGATGCTGAGGGGAGTGTTTTTGACCAGTCTAGTTTAGTCGCTGTGGACTTTTGAAGTCACTCGTTTAAATGAATGGGGCTCGTGCAGCTGACACATACGCAGATGCATTTTTTCACATTTTGCAGCCCCCAGAAATTGTGGCACATTAGTTAGAACGGCGGAGATAGGCGTGACTACGTCCGTTAATATTTACAGTCTATGGTAATGGATGAATACGTACACTTTTACAAATGGAACTCTCTGAAAATAATTAGACTTTAAAAAAAAATACAGGATATAAACAATAGCATCATAATCTCGTTTTAAACCCGTTGGATCCGGTTCAAAGGGTACTTGAGCAACATCAACCACATGAAAGGTTGTACATGACTCTTTATCCAGTCTTTGCAATAAGTTTCTGCACACAAACCATAAACTACAATCAGGAAAAGTAGTACTAAAGGCATTTAAAGGAAATCCCTAAATAGTTAGTCACACAAACTTTATGATGGATAATACGTGTCACAGTCGGACTTCACAGCAATTTGTGGCTAAAGATTAACACCGAGCGATAGTGATGTGTTTGTTTAACGTTGTGTAAATGTACAGATGTTTTGGAGTGTATTGTAAAATGAAATCAGTGTTATTTATTGGCTCGTGAAAATGACCTCTGTGTAGCTCATTGTTAGATACAGATAGATACAGATATATATAGATATATACATAAATAGATATATTCAGAAATTGTTCCATTCTATCCACACGGTGATGACAGAATTGAGTCCTGAACACACTGGTCCATCAAAGCCTCCGACCAAACACCCTCCATTCACTCACTCATCACATTCAGACCTATAGTGGTAGGGGAAACCGTAGCACCTGGAGGAAACCCACGCAGACCTACTAGATTGTAACACACATCTATCACAGTTTTTCTGATAGATCCATGACATGAAAACTACAAACGCATGCATTGTTTATGAAATTGTGTGTATCTGTGTGTAACTTTTGTCCAGGACTCCCTTGAAAAATAGGATCTTAATCTCAATGGGACTTTCCTGATTAAATGTAGGTTAAAGTAAAATAAATAAAAATATATGTTACATGTGATTTGCTTCTTTGTGGCCAAAAGAAAACAGCAGTAAAGTAATTATATGCACACGGACTCCAACATTATCACTTTTTCATGAGAACAAAAACTGTTTCGCCTTCATTTGTTTAAACATTTTGTGTTGACAGTATTTTCCACATGGGCCCAACCCTTCCCCAGCCGCACTGTCAGCCTGTACTTTGAACCAGACTCGTTTACATGCACCGCACTTTCCCGCCCCTCGGCTAATCCCAGACAGAGGGAAGGCGTTCGGGCGCATGTCAGAGCTTCTTGTTTATGATAAAGTGACAGAAAATCATTGGGGGGCCAACTATCCCCCTTTAGCACTTTGCGGTCCCCCCCTGGTCCACCTCAGCCCACCTTGGACCCCCGGCAGCCTGTGAGCAAGGTGCCGGGCCCACGTGAGGGGAAGAACGCCTCCCCTTTAATGAGACCATTAAAGGACCCCGTCAATAGATTTCTCTCATTCTTTCTCTGACAAATTTGTATTAATAATTCAGAGCCGAGCGCCGGGGGATGTATATTTTGAGCATGAAGGACAGTTAATCCATAGACCCCCCCCCATGCCCCCCTGCCCGCCCCTACACCCCGCTCCTCTCATTTGAAGATGCAGGTAGAGTGCTGACTAAAGAAAGAAAGCAGGCAATATTTTCATCTTATTTAGCATCTTTGTGTGATCCCCGACCACTATGAATTATGGGAAAACATCAAAAATAAAAACAGCCTCTTGACTTTTCATTGCTGTTTATCAACCCCCACCTTTTTCATTTAGTTTGTTCCGGTGCCAGACCACAATGACAAACAACTTGCCCTTTAAAAGCTAAGCTAAATAGATTTCAAACTAAAACACAAATGTATTTGTCATTTGCAGTAAAACCATGTTGGAAAAACCGTGCAAGAGTCTCCCAGTGTGCACCATATGGAACAATATCAAATCTATCCAACGAGTTCTTTGCTCTGGACACTGGTTCTTTCACGGTGGCTGAGTGGTTAGCACTCTCGCTTCTGGGTTTGTATCCCGGTCGGAGCAGGGCCTCTCTTTGCATGAGAGTTTGCATGCTCTCCCCCCGTGTTCCAGGTGCTCCGGACGCAATAGGAAAGAATGTAGTGAGTGAGTGAATGGAGGGTGTTTGGTCGGAGGCTTTGATGAACCAGTGTGTTCTGGGTCTCGCTTCCGTCGTCATTGTTTGGAGAGAATGGAACCATATCTGAGCTCTAAACAATTGTAAAGTGTTTTGGGTGAGACCTTGGTCTTTTACAAAGCGCTCTATAAATAAAAAATATTTACAGTACTTACTTGCAAATGTAACATATATAATTTTGCTTACAATATGAATGACTGTACAACATTTGTTTCAATAGATCAGCCCCAGTCCTCCCCCCTTAATCTCTCTTGGTTTGATCCACCCAATATTTACATAATTCTCCCAACTGTGGAAGTGTAGGCGGGGGCAGTGTGGGGTTGTTTTGGGGGGGGGGGTCCTGGTGGTATTAGCCGAGGTAGACCAGAGCAGAGTGTTTGGATGTGCCTTCAGGGGGTGGGAGAAAGACCAGAGCAGACCATATATATATATACATACAGTATATACACACACATTAAGCCTCCCCCTTTGGCCATAGGATTATGCTGAGACAATGTGATTTCTTTTCACTGTGGATCCTGATCGGGGTCTTGGGGGGTCCTAGCACTTTGGTCATTAGAATAATATTCCAGAACAGAGAAATAGCAAAGAAAAAAAACACTTGATGAAGATTATGATTCTAAATCAGGTATATATCAATAATTAATTTTTCCATTTTGGTTCATATTTGTTGAAGATATTTCTAATTATAGACAGAGTGCAAGAGCAAAAAAAGTATAAAATATGAAGTAATAAATGCCTTTTTTATTTTTTCATTGAGAACATTTGTCTTAAAACATGATTTGCCAATGACACAGATGTGATTGCAATTTATTTCTCGTTCCAAATGAGAAATGTCTTGATTTTTCCAATTTTAAAACTACTGTAATTAACCATATTATTTTTGGACAATCCTAGCCTGGTCTTACCATGTGTAAACTCTGGTCCATGATCATTTCCTACATGTACGTCTGGGTCTGATCCTAGTGGCTGCAGTTTCCTCGGTTGAATCCCCTCCAACCAATCAGAGAGCGGGGGAGGCCTACAACCAGAGTTTCGTTCGGGCCTGAAAAATGAAGCCCGACCCGGCCCGAGCCCGCTAATGTTAAGCCCGAGCCCGTATAAGCCCGACCAATGAACGCTGTATAACAGGCCCGAGCCCGACAGAACCCGACACATCTGATTTCCTTGTTGTACGCACTCACCTTCCAATTGCAAGTTTTGTCTCCACTTTTGAATTTTTTT